TATATATATATATATACATATATTGGCAACTATTTTTATCAACATGAGAAAATACAGTATTAAAAAATTCTGAAAAAATTCTTAAAACTTTATGAGAAGAAAATAAACAATTTTTGTCTCACTGTTTTTCTATAAAGTTGAATAGTATTTAACTGGAAGAAAGAATTAGGAGATTCCACTTTCGTAAATAAAGGTGAACCGATTTTGCGTTCGAAATAAATTTCGACACTTGCGATGCTTGTGAATTTTGTAGTCTTGCGCATAATGAATGCGCCATAAGAAAAATGTTATGAACATAACATAATCCTGACGAAGACTAATCGCAGACAAAATCACCTTTATGGAATTAAGTTTTCGGGACATCTTGTATATTTCCGATTTCGTAACATCTCTCTCCCCCCCCCCTCTCTCTTTCTCTCTCTCTCTCTCTCTCTCGATGTATCTTTAGATTTCTCTATTTATATAAAGAACACTGCAGGATAGTAATACGCCATGTATATAAAAAAGTTGCCTTTTTTTCTTTTAGACGGCTGCATATAAATATATCCAACGCACCAATCTAACTAAAAGCCCTAGATATAAGCGCTTGTGCTGTAAATGTATTCTTTCTTTTGTTGTTTTTCTCTAACCCTTTCCTAAGTACTCAACAGATGACAAACGGCACAAATAGAGTGCGAATAAAGACATGGAATTTAATGCTGCATATGTCAAGAATGTTTTGTATCGCTCAGTATATCTATCTTCCGAGGAACGGATCCATGAAACTTGTGCGCAAAGTTACCGAGGAACAATGCGTCACGAGTGAAATTGGTATATCGCATGTTTCCCGTATAATGTAGTTGCCGTATAATATGACGCAAACTACACGTTGTCCGTGTAATGTAAGTGATGATGCCATATTCTGAAGTGATCACGATACTTTCCAAAAATTTCGACGGCAAATTACGTACATTCTACTTTGATTAAAATATAGATATTAAGAGCAAGTAACAGCCGCCTACCTTCTAATTCGACGATTTTGCCGGCTCTCTTCAACGCCTTTACCGCCTCATCATGTGTGGCTTCTCGTAGATCTTCGCCATTTACCGCCAAAATGGCATCGCCGACGTAAAGTTGCTCAGTAGCGTCCGCTGCCATGCCTTTAAAGATCTTCGAGATGAGGATTGGCATTTTGTTCTCCTTGCCGCCCTTTATCGAAATTCCTAAGCCATTGTTGTCACTTTTGACCACACGGACAATGCGCTTCTGATTGGCTACCGAATCGGGCACATCCGGATCGTTCAAACTGTCTACATTGTTATTGTTGATATTGCCGTTGTTCAGGGCGTTATTACCGGTCTCACAACTCTCATCGAGCGAAATACTGAGATAATCGTCTTCCAAAGAAACGAATACGCGATACCACTGACCGCGCACTTGAGTTTCGAGAATGCCCGCACGTCCTGACGCTGAGGATGAGGCACCTGTAGTCGTGGTAGTCGACGAAGAAGATGACGATGTCGCCGCGGTCACCATCGAACTGATGCCCATTACTCCCATGGCCGAAGAAGCTTGGCCGCTACCACACAACTCTACCATTTCGATTTCTTCGCAAACTGTACGCTGCAACATACCAATAATTGCAAACGTATAATCTTTTTTTTATCCACTTTAAATATTTAATATTGCGCATTAAACTTTATGATTTTTTATTGAGCAAGAGAAAGAGAGATTAAAAAATAAGAAAAAAATTTCCTTATAAATATTCAGAAAATCTTTCTATCGTGAAATATAAACAATGAAAATAAAAATAAAATTGAAAATGAATATTTGTGCGAATATACATACGTATCTGCTACTCATACAAAAGTATAAACAAGAGGCACAGTTTTATGGAAAAGAAGAGATTTAAAAAAATCTTAATAACTTTATCTTGTGCCTCGTTCAATTTTCAATGAAAAGCTCGAGAAAAATGGCAACATATAAAATGGACGTTATAGTACATTGCGAATAAATGGCGCTCGGTACTCGACGACGTGAATAAATCAATTGTACTACTATATGCTGGCGAAATTCGTAATTTGAAAATAATTGATAGCGGTCGACAGTGACGTGGTCGAGCTCTCTTTGTTTTCCTCCTACACCATTATTTCCATCAATCCAGTATCGCGCCGTAACAATAGCGTTACTACTGCTCGCGTAAAATGGTATATGGGCGCAACGGAAAGCAAATAATTAGAAGAAAATTGCATGCGCTTACGAAATATATGTATATATATATATATAT